GTAACGGTTACTTGGGAAGACAAATGCCATCACTCCAAACGTCCCCCCCTTCCTTCTTCTTCCCCCAGCTTTATATACTGAGCATGACGTCACATGGTATGGAATGTCCCTTGGGCCAGTTTGGCTGTGCCCCCCTCCCAGTTTCTTGTGCACCCCCAGCCTTCTCAGTCAGTACAGCATGGGAAGCTGAAAAGTCCTTGACTAGTGTAAGCACTGCTTAGCAACAGCTAAAACATCGGTGTGTTATCAACTTTGTTCTCATCCTAAACCCAAAACACAGCACTGTACCAGCTACTAGGAAGGAAATTAACTCTATCCCTGCTGAAACCAGGACACAATGGCATATAAATAAACTTATTAGAGTTTGTTAACCTTCCATACTGGAAAAAACAGCAAAAGTATTTAATGGCTTCCTCACAATAACGACAAGGAAGGAAAACATAGCTTTTTGTGGGAATAACAGCAACACAAAATTTGTAAAGATCAATAAAGTGGAAAAGCTGAAAACTCAGTTGGTTGTACTACTTACACAGTAGACAAAGCTGGGAAAACCCCTTGAGATTTAGTACTAATCAGTGTGGAATGTGTAGGTTCACCAATATTTGAAAGCATTTGCAATTCAAATGTAAACACTGACTAGGTTTTGCAAGTTTGCTGAAGTACACTATAGGGATGTTCTGGGACATTGCAACGCTGCTATTTCTGCTTTTAGCTGTTATGTGCTTCCTGAACACTTACCATGGCCTATAGTGACTCTTCATGTCTCAAATGTTATTGGAGGAGCTCGCTTCTGAGATTTGGCAGTGCTTTATGCATATCTGACACTTTCCAATGTAGATATCAAGCTGGGGCAGGTGGAATTAAAAAAAAACCAAAAACATACAACTCTTGAGCAAACCAAAGACCTATCAAAAACCCCACACTATGTCAGAAAAGACCTAATTCCTTCACTGGCTGAAACAATGTAAATTGCAAAGAAATTCTGTAACAAAGGCACAAACAGCAAAAAAGCTCTTCTTTCCTTCCAGAAGGCGGCGAGAAAGCTCCAGCATCCAATCGGCCCTGACAGATTGTCTGGTCACGCCTTTTGTTTTTCCTCCCCCCACCCCATAATAGCACAACTTCAAACAGGAGGGACACACTGTATGCCACCATGCGTAACTGCCCATGGTTAAGGCGCACTGCAGGGAAGCAGTACACATTTTTTAAACTCACTCACACCGCAAGAATCTTTTTCTGACTGCTCTAACCGTAAGATTATTATATTACTGATGCCATCACCGCTGTAATTTGAGTAGGAAAAAATGTAGCTCTTGCTGCCTTTAAAAAAAAAGCAGTGGTAGCACTCTGCCTTCAGGAGTGAGTTTTGGATTGTAGTCAGAGCAGGACTGACTTCAGCCTGAATTACAGGGAAAAACATAGCCATACCCCACATCCCTTTGCAATATTTAGTACTCATAAGCTCAAGACTGCTCCTTATCTAGTACCTGAGTCTTCTGAATTGCCATTCTGAAGCAGCATTCTCCCTTCACACTGTAGAGGATGCAAAGATGCCTACCTTGGGTTCTAGTTTTCAGTTTGAGGTTTTAATCTTGTAAGAATGTAACTTCTTTAAAAGATTTGGTCTTATCTTTCCTCTCTGTAAGTCCATTCTTACATAACTCTGCCTAATTAGACTAATGGAGTTTCTATGGATGTGAAATCTGATCGTCTAACACCAAGTAAAACTACATAACATAAATAAATTTAGTCAGAGCTTCAAAACACCTTAGATAAAGGAAAATTTCAGTATTACAAGGTTTTCATCAGTCTATTACTATACTAAATATACTGGTATTCTATCTTTTTTATTAGAAGTGACACAAGTATGCTCAGAGGTTTTGTAAGGATCTCCAAAGTCTTTAGATACACGGGATGTCCATCTCCTTAAAATAGTTCTCTTGGAATAAGATGTGTATTCAAGGAAATGTAAATTTAGAATAGTCTTAAAAGAAAGCCCATTTAAGCTCAACCAGTACACCAATACAAAACACAGTATCTGCAGGTAAAGTTATATGGAGGGGAAAAAGAAAAAAAAAAAAAGTGTGGCATACACTAAGATGCTAAATTACTTACCATCCCAGACTTGTTATGTTACAGACTCATTTACTTCTAAGACTTGAGATGCTTCCTGAAGTCTGCACCTTCTGTAAGAGGTACTTGGTGAGGGTGAGATGGTTTCTGTGGGAAGGCCTTCTGGAGGAGCTGCCTAAGGAGAAGTATGCATGTCTAAACCCTGAAGCACACTGCTGTTACCTGGGGGGGGGGGATCTGATGGGCTTAAGTTCATTTTGTTTGTGTGGGTTAAAAAAAAAAAAAAAGTCCAAAATGGGAAGACTGGGGTACAGAAGAATTGCACAGGACATTACTGCATTACATTGTGGAAGAAAGTAAACAACTTCACAGTTCAAAACAAGTACGTATTCTTATTTTCTGATAAAGAATTAAACAGACCAAGCAAAACTCTGTCTTCCAAAGTAATTTGCCAGTAGTAGAATTTTGTTGGTCAACATAAGAATGCAAGAATAAACTAGACATTTTGTCCAGAAATATAAAGCTAAAGGTGTATCAGTAATAGACCTGTACAATCTTTGTTCTGAGTAGCTCTTACAAAAAAGCTTCAACATAACAAACATGACTGCTTACCTGCAAAATTAAATTAAGAACTCTTCTAAATTTTAGGGTTAATTCAAGTAGGTATGATGCCATTTTAAACATATATTATCCAGACATCAATATAATAGCTGTATTTGGAGATCACTACTATCTCTAAGAATTGCAAAAGCAACTTTTCCCTCTCCCAACTTTGCAAAGCATAACTATGATGCAGCAATCCTCACCAGTCGAAAAACATGTAAAAATTGAAGGTAAACCCTTAGAAATTATTATACACATGAACTCATTCCAAAGAGTGAAATCAGTTATAGATATACCAGCATCTGTTGATATTTATAGGACTGTACTTCATACCAAGTTTCCTTATTGTGACCACCTCGCTAAGCTTATATTCTTAGTAAAAAAACCCAAAAACACCCTCAAAAAAAAAAAAAAAAAAAAAAAGCCAGACTTGCATGCAAAAGCAAGCGGGGCACCATTTTGCACCCTGTTAAGATGTACTCCTCCCCCAGCCTGGAGAATTTCTTCCTGATGATGGGAAAGAATGAGAGCTCTCAAATCTTCTTTAGATAGCTCCAGAAGATTCAGTGACCCACTGGCACCTTTTATAAAGCTTAGAGACCACCTTACAAATAACAGACAGCTGCAAAGTGCAAACATAAAGGAAAAGAAAAAAAAATACCCCCCCCAAAAAAAAAAACCCAAACAAACAAGCAAAAAGCACAACTCCAAAAGAAAAACGAACTAGACAGAGCTACCCACACGCTGAAACGCGGGACACTATCCCTGACCCCATCCCCAGCACTTCACCCTCCTACCCTCAGCCCAAGACGGAGGCGGCACCTCTGCCATTGGGCCGTGCCGATTGGCTGGGCGCTGCCGCCGCGCTCCCGCCAATCAACCTTAAGCCCCATCCGCCACCAAAGAGGCGTTTAAGTCTCCGGTGGTGTTACAGCGCATGCGCTTTGCTGAGCAGCGCATGGGAGCTCGTCTTCGCGCCGCCATGTTGTCAGTGAGGGGTGAGCGGAGGCAGTGAGTGCTTGGTTGTTGGGCTCGGTGTCGGGATGGTGTAAAATGACTGTGCTCTGGCGGTTATGGCTCTCACGCGTCGCTTTCACGCTTGTGAGTGATAAGGAAGCTGCTGCTGAAGGGTAGCGGTCTTCTCGGGTCTTGCTTGGGGGTGGTAGCGCCCGCCCAGCGGTTCGCGCGTTGTCGAGTTGAGCCCGGTTCTGCCCTCTGCTCCTCTCAGGCGAGCGCCGACTGGGGCGTCAAACAGCCCAGGTCAGAGCTGCTGCTTTGGAAGGCTGCGCAGATACCTTAAGCTGTCGCTTATGTCCTGCATTTCGTTGCATTTAAAAGCCCTTTTATTATGCTGTAAGTTTGTTTGTATGGTATTAGTGCATGACAGAATGTAGATTTTGATGGCTGAGGCGTTGCAAACAAAAATAAATGTGTGACATCTCTTGCTTAGAAAGTAGGTGGTAGATTATCTATAGTGTTGTTCTTCTGACTGGTGTGTTTTTTGAACTGCTGCAAAGAAAGAATGGGCTTACCATGGTTTTAGGAAGGTGGATTCAGTTTTGTACTTCGTTTTTTTTAAATCTTAACATTGTAATTAAACGGGGTATGAGGAACTCTTCCAGGGTGTGTTTGTTGGGCAGGAGAAGTAGTACAAGATTTTAGTTTACGTATATTTTTCTAATGATTTTTCTATCATCTTTCCTTGTAGAGAGATGCAGAGCTCTTAATAAGAGGGCTGAGGTTTCTAAAGGTCTGTTATGAATGAGTAAGTCCTAACTGGTATGTAGGTGAGTAAAAAGCAAAAGGTAGTTTTGTAAACTGCAGAAATGTGACTGTATCAGCGTGATGCTGTTATTTGGGCTGTGACAAAGGGCAAGCAAATGTTGATGCATAAATTGTTTTCATTTGTTATGTGTTTCTGCAACCAGGGGTTTGTTTCAATGGGGAAGAAAAAAAAAAAAAGGTGCCCAAAGCATCAGTGGTGCACCTTCAAAAGTTTGATTCAGCCTAACGATCGAGTGTTTCTTCCAGGCAGGCAGAACCCTTTCCTGAAGGCTGTTTTCCTTCATTAAAAAACACCAGAATTCAGCTTTCTATTTTATTACAGGGAGAAGTGAAAAACAGGGGGGCTTGTTAGGAAAACATTTGTCAGATCGGGATTTGGTGGTACTTTAACTGGGAGGTTTTTTTGGGTGGCTGGTGGTTTTGGGGTTTTGTTTTGGGTTTGGTTTTTTTTTTTTTTTTTGAGAAGTCATGTATCCTTCCTCCTCCTGCCCGAGATGTTCTGGTAAGCTTTACAGTAGGAGTGCTCATTTATTTGTTAATTTTTATTTTTTTGTGGAACTAGAATGATAGGGGTCAATATTTACTCTGAAGACAGATTATATGATCACTAGCTACTTCATGTATGCTTGTGATAAAAACTACTATGGCAGTTCTGTTGAAGATTTTTTGCAGGCTGAGGAAGATCTTGCTCTAATGACTTGTAGTTGAAACTGAAAGTTTCAGCTTTACATAAAAATTCATAAATCAAACATATGCTTTGTCCAGTCTATCCTTATGTGCTTATCCACTGTCTTTGCATTTGACAGATGTGTTCTACCCCTAATTACTTTGTTAGAACAGCAGTTTATTTCATAGAATTGCTTGATTAAATTGTGGGCATGCATAGCCTTTTTAAACAATGTGAAATCACAGATCCATTGACAAATTTGAATGGAACTAGAAGCTGATCTTGAAGACCAGATTATAGATGAAGGTCAGAGAAGTATCTGAAGGGTTTGAAGATATTTAAACCATCAGAATCGGAGTGTTGAGATGTTGAGGTGTTAACACACCTGGTGTTAGTTGTTAACTAACAATTGTTAGTTGATGGGCAGTGCAGAAATGTTGGACGTAGATAATGTGTTCTGTATGTCCTTGCAATTATGGAAACTTGAAATATGCTACAGCTATGCCTGATAGTGTCTAGACAGCCAGATTAAGTAAACAGTAAAGCACAGAGCTGTAAGATGTCATTGATTTGAATTGATTTGAAGAAGTGATTTACACAGAAAAAGCAGGGTGAGTAAGGGAGGAGTCCTTGGTCATTCACATATTAAAAAGAAAGAGAAACAGATGGGAAATACTTTTGCAGGTAAATTCTCCCTGTAACGGCAAGCCTAGTGCAATGAAATACTGAATTGGACCTCCTTTGGACAAATTTGCAGTTAAATTTATTGAATGTAAGTAACATTTGTGAGATGAGCAGAGGTTGTATAAATGGCATGAATTGCTTTCCAGTCTTGTTTTTTTTGAGCAGAAATACTTTTCTTTGAGAAGAAATACAATTATCTTCCTGGTCATCTGTCCTGTCCTGTTCCGCATCCCTGCATGTCCGTGTTGTGTCGTTCCCTGCCCCCCCGCCCCAGTTTTCTGAGATAATCTTTAATTGTCTGTGTTATTCTGGGAACAGCTTTCTGATTACGAATTGTTCTCAAGTGATAAAATTAGTCTAGCCACAAGAGCAAGTCAGAGGTACTTTTTTTCAGATATTATCTGAACATGTCTTTACAAAGAGAATTGTGTCAAGTGTATCCCAGTTGCATAAAACATGACATTGTTAAATGTTTAGTATACATTTTAACCAGAAGTGTGATAATATGCTGTTAAAGCATTTTGAAAACAAATTTCATGTAAGGAATTAGTTGACAAAGAAAAAATACAGAAAATTATCAGGCTGATCTTATTCCTTTTCTTTGCAGATAGAATGGAATCTCTGACTCCCTCACCAAACATAGTAGATATGAATCTGAAGATAACTTGTATAGAATGCCGTCCTGAATGCTTGGTTATAGTGTTCCAGGGTCAATACAAGGCAGGATGTGAGCTTGACTATTACATACTACAAAATGAAATACAACGTGTGTTCAAAGTAAAAGATAATATTTCCGTTGGTGGATCTTGTTTGGTGGAAGACACAGAAGGAAAATGGCATAGAGGAAGAGTTCTGGAAAAGAGAGAGAATATCTGTGAGGCTTTTCTTATAGACACTGGGCAAGTGCTAGTTGTTGAGGAAACACATCTTGCTTCTGCTTGTAATGAATTGTTTCAGCTGCCTCCAAAGGTGGTTTGGGGTGTTTTTGCAAGCATACTTCCTCTTGGAGAAAAATGGGGTCCAAAAGCCATTAACTATTTTTCATCTCTGGTAGGATTACAGATTACGGGTCATGTGAAAGCTGTTACACCATACCAACTGTTTATTCTAGAAGTACCAAAGGTCATTAGTGATGTTCTTGAACTGCAGTTAGGAAAATTTATTGATGGAGATTCATTTTGTCTTATTGTAGAAACGTTAAGAGTGTTTCCCCAAGAAATGCTAGTGCCACAATTGTTGCAACAGAAGTATCCAGTCAAAGAGTTGCTTACTTTCAGTAATTCTGAGAAACCAACAGATTTTTGGCCAGTTCCAGATGATCTCTTTCCATGTCTACCTGTTGGCAGTAAAGAAAATGTAAAAATAACTGTTGCAGTAAGCCCAAATAAATTTTACTGTCAGATTCAGAAATGGCAGAAAGAGCTGGAAGATTTGACAGGAGCTATGCGTTTGTACTATGAAGCTATCAGTACAGAAAATAATAAATCTTTTGATAGTTTAGGGCTACTCTGTGCTGCCAAAAGGCAAAACGGACAGTGGCATAGAGGAGTGATAAAACAGCTTCTCTCTGACCATGTGGAAGTCTGGTTTATGGATTTTGGCAATATTGAAGCTGTGCCATCTAGTTGTGTTCAGAAACTTAAAGTAGAGTTCATGGCATTACCAATGATTTCATTTCCATGTGCACTGTCTTGTTTTGGTAGTCAGGATGAAACAGTAATAAAAAGTCAGCTGAAAGAACTTATACGGGCCTTGATAGGACAAACTTCTGTGTGTGTCCGTGTTGATTTATTCAATGACATTAAACGCTTGTATTACATTACGCTGCAAAATCAAAATCTTGGAATTAATGCTAAGCATCCAGAAAACCTGAATGACGCAGCTGCATCATGTGTCTCGCTTTCGGAAACAACAGTCACGAGTATTGCTGTAACCTACAAACCATGTGATGGGAGATACAATTCATTTAAGAATTGTACTGGAAATAAGCGTACAAAAAACTGCTTACCTGAATGGGATATTTCTTTGTCAAGCCACTGCAAAAGAGTAGAAATGCAAATGAATTCTTTCCATACTGCTTTTGTGGTATATGTCATAAATCCATCTGACTTCTGGATTCAAACATGTGAATATCAGAATGAATTTCAAGCCTTGATGAAAAATATTGCAGATGCATATAACCCATGTGGAGCTGATGAAATGGTCCTTAAAAACCCAGAACCTGGATTGCTGTGCTGTGCCCGGTATAGCAAAGACATGCATTATTATCGGGGTGTTGTCGTTGAAGTGCTTCATGTAAATATTACTGTTTATTTTTTGGACTTTGGAAATACAGATACAGTACCCTGTTATGATGTGAAAAGATTGCTTCCTGAGTTTTCTGATTTACCAGCTTTAGCTATGTGTTGTGCACTTGCTTATACGTTTCCTGTTGATGATGTGTGGGTTAAAAAGGAAACTGATTTCTTCAAAGACATTGTGTTTAACAAACTACTCCTGCTTCATGTCATTGGAAAGCAAAACAACAAGTATATTGTTAATGCGCAGTATAAGAATGGTTTGCAGCAAGGAAATGTTGCCACATGTATGGTTCAAGCTGGATATGCTGAACACTGGGAAAAGACACCAGATTCTGTTCTAAATTCGGCAAAAAAAAGTCAAGCCCTGAATCGCCAGAAATTAAAAAAAAAAAAAGTAAATGCACAGAGCATCTGTAATATTCGTAAAAATAAGGAAATCTCTGGAAATGGAGAGAGATTTCGGAAGGAAAAATCATTAAGTGTGCCTTCAGTGCTGAGAGAATCTGTTGTGCTGTCCTGTTTTGGAAAAGGTGCTATCTCTAAAAGCCATAAATCGGTACATGAGAAAAGATTATTTTATAAAGAGTTTGTGTTTAAACCAGGAGCTGTTTTTGAAGTGGTGTGTTCTTACATTGTTTCCCCAGCAGATTTTTCATGTCAGTTGCAAAGTAAACTGTCAGAGCTAAATAACTTAATGGAACAAATTCAGACTTACTATAAAGAGCATACCAGTCCTTACAAAACTGGACAGGCTGCTTGTGTTGTTAAATGTCCCAAAGATGGGAAGTGGTACAGAGCAACTGTTTTGCAGCAAGTATCCACAAACGAAGTTGATGTGGTTTTTGTAGACTATGGTTATCAGGAAAGAGTTTTACTTAAAGATCTTCAAGCTGTTCTTCCAGATTTCCTAACTCTGGAAAGTCAAGCATTTCGGTGTGGACTTAAAGATGTATCCTTACAGATTGACTCACTTAATTGGTCTGAAGAAGCGCGTAGACATTTTGAAGACTTCATTTCTGCTTCTAGAGGACCACTGACTTGCATCATTTATGCTCTTATTCTTGTAAGCCCCAACTGTTTATGCAATATAGTTGACTTACAGACTCCATTTATTAGTGCAGAGGAATTCCTCAGAGAACGTGGTCTCACCCAGTCTGAATATATTGGCCTGAGAAACCTTGCATCTTTGGGTTCTCTGTACAGTTTTTGCTACTCATCTTTTAATATAAAAATTGGAAGTGAGGAGGAGGTTTATATAACTCACATACATAGTCCTTCAAAATTCTATTGTCAGCTTAATCGAAACACTGAAACTATAGAGGCATTGATGAAGAAGGTTAGTGTCATAAGTAAAATGCCAAATAGTGCAAAATACGATACCAGCAATACGCGATTATGTATAGCCAGATATTTTGAAGATGGTCTCTTTTATAGAGCTTTGGCTTTTCCTGTGGAATCGACATCCTATCTATGTGCTGACTTTGTAGATTTTGGAAATAAGAATATGGTAGAGAGAGACCAGTTGATGCCTATTCCAGACTCTGCCACTGACCTAATATTCACACCCATGCAAGCTATTAAATGCTGTCTGTCAGATCTTAGGGAGACAAAAATTCCAGCAAGTGTTACTAGATGGTTTGAGGAAACATTCCTTGGTAAACTGCTGAAGGCTGTAATTGTATCCAGAGAATCAGATGGACAGATTGTTGTGGAGTTGTATGATGGACAGCTCAAAGTCAGTCAGAAAATTAAAGAAAAAGTATTGGAGGAATTGGCACTGAAAAATCATATGGAAGAATTTGTTGGAAGTAATGGAAGAGTGACAACTCACATGGAAGATGACAAAGAAATTAATAAAGTAACTGTTAAAAATCCTGAAAGAGTTAAATTGAAAACTAAAGTGAAATGCCAAGTATATGATAAGTATTATCAGACAGATATTGGACAGAATTTTGGAGATGAAGAGGAAACTGCATATAGCACACAAAAGTTGTGTAGTGGGTCCTCAAAACCGCTAACTTTACAGGACAGTCAAGAACCAGGTTTTAGAAATACTGTCAGTGCTGTTCTGGAGCACAGAGAGGAACCTCTGGTTGGAGAGCCTGCTTCTCTCTCACTCTGTCATCCTGCTTTAAATTCAAAGGAAATAACTGTAAATGCTCTCTCTGAATCTCATAATGAAAGGCTAAATTATACAGGTCAGCAGCAAAGGAATAACGAAGATAGACCTAAATTAATCAGTCTTCCTCAACATGATATTCAGGTGAATTCTGAAGTAGCGGGGTATATTTCTCATATGAATAGTCCATCAAGTTTCTATGTTCAGCTTGCAGAGGATGAAAACTTAATAATACAACTAGCAGAAGAATTAAATGAAAGCATGGTGAATATAGGTCATGAAAATTGTGTAGATGAGCTCATGGTAGGGGATTTCATTGTAGCAGAGCATGACACTGATTGTTTTTATTATAGAGCAGTTACTAAAACTCCGCAATCAGGAAACTCCTTTGAGGCAGAGTTCATTTATTATGATAATACAGCAGTTGTAAGCCCTTCAAAAATCTGCAGGATTCAGAAAAAGTTCTTAACTTTGCCGGGGCTTAGTGTTCTTTGTTTCCTTAGGAGAGTAGGAAGTGTTCCTGATGAAAGCTGGACTAACAAAAGTACTTCCTATTTTATAAGCGAAATAAATAACAAGCCAGTCGCTTGCAAGTTCTTACAGCAACATGGAGAGCGTTGGGAAATAGGTGTAACTTGTGATGGAAAGTCTGTGTCTAATGACCTTCTGCAGGAAAAAGGCAGGACAAGGTGGCAAAACACACCAATGCATAATCAGGAAAATAGGCCAAAACAAATTCCGGTTACAAATGGTAATCCTCAAGATAGAAAGTGTAGGAATGGTTTAGGTGGTCAAAGTAAAACTAAGGCTGTTAGGATGAAAAATAGTTCCAAAACACCCTTAAGTGTCCTTCCTCAAGATCTAAATTCTGGACAGGTAGAAGGAGCAGAAGTAATTACTATTTCAGAGAGTGGAGAATTTCATGTACAGTTACTTAAAAATTTGCAAATATTACATGAGTTAAATGTAATGCTTGTCAAAGAAGCACAAAGAAGTGATTTGTTTAGAGTGGATGACATTGAAGAAGGATTGGAATGTATGACAAAATCTGGAAGGAACTTGAAGTGGTATCGAACAAAAGTGATAAAGAAATTTGTCAGGGAAAAGTTAATGCTAGTTTTTTTCATGGATTATGGCAAGTGTGAGATGGTGTCCTTAAATAATGCAAAGATGCTCAGTGATGAGATTAAAAGTATTCCTAAACAAGCTGTGTTTTGTAAATGGGTTTGGTTTAAAAAACTGAAGAAAATTCAATTTGTCCATGTAGTAAATGCACTCCTGGATCGTGAAATAAGGATCTTGTTTTTGAGATATTTGGAACCCTCTCATATCTGGGAAGTAGATATTTTAATAGGCGAAATTCTGCTTCAAGAGTATTTGAACCAGCTCTTAAGTCGTCGTCGGACTATTGTTGGACCAGAAAAGTCCGGTAATACAGACTGTAAGGAGTTTGATACATCATTCAAGATAAATTCAATCACATGGACGCTGCTGCAGAGTGGCAGAAGGTATCCTGGGTTTGCAACTGCAGTTACTGATCCTTCAAACTTCTGCATCCAGTTTGAAGTCTTATTTGATTGCATGAAAAACTTGTCTTTGCTGCTCTCTGACCTTCCTGACAACTTGCCAGCTTTGCCAAAAGAACTTGTGGCTCCTGGTGCTAGCTGCTTGATCAAGCTTGGACTGGAAGCACAGTGGAACAGGGCAGAAGTTAGTGAAGTAACAAGTCAGTCTGTTGTTCTTAGGTTTATTGATTATGGCTTTCTGAAGAGCATCCCTTACTCTGATATCCATAAACTTAAAGTTATTCCAGAAAGTCTGTCTTATTTACCACGCTTGGCACACTCTTGCTCTTTACATGATACAGTTCCTGCCAAGGGGGAATACTGGAGTGATGAAGCCAAACTACTGTTTCAGAAGCTTCTTAGTAAACCGGGTCTGATACTTCATTTTAAACACTATGGCTCTGAAATGAAATTAGAGGTGGATGTTCTGTACAAGGAGAACAATCTAGCTCATGCCTTAATAGCTGCTGGCTATGCAGTCCACTCTAGAAGTAGGTGCTGCCTCATTCCAGTTGGCAGAATTAAATCAGAAAAAACAGATTTGCAGCCTAAGTGTCCAAATTCTAGTTACTGTGCTTCCCTTTGTGAACCAGATTATAATTATGATGAGAAATCTTATTTTGCTGACAGAAATAAAAAAGTGAAACAAAAAAAGTATCCGAGGCGTAGGACTATCTGTGATAAAGTTTCAAATAAGTCTGGTAAAGTGGGTGCTGGAATATCATTAACAAAGGATCTTAGTTCATATAACACTGAAAGAAAAGAAAAGCTGCAAAAGGTGGACCATACTGTGAAGAAGTTGGGTTTTTTTCAGCATTGTCATGATAAGAAAAGTAAAATTGACTTAATACAGAGTAAATCTGCTACCAGTAGCACTGGTTGAGACGCGATTCTGATGTTCCACAGTCTAGAAAGACACTGTGAAGATACTGTCAAAAGAATTACTTGAATAACAAGTAGACGGTAGTTAGGAAAGTAGTAATTCAGTGCATTAAAAAAAAAAGATACAGTTATTGCACTTGATATATTTTTTTTTTTCCTCCAAGATCTCTTTTATTTATTTAGACAATCATGTTTTTGGCAAACCTTTCTCTTAGAATGCTTTTACAATTCATGTGCATGTATATGTAAAACTTTGCAATAACATCTGGTTTACAGTGTTGTCTCCTTGTTTTGGATGCTCAGAAAACAAAGATGCCAAGCATATTCTTGTCTTTGTTTCTAATTCCAAAGTTCCCGTGTGAGTATCTTTTGTTAGGAGAAAGTTTACTAACAATAAGCCAGAATCTTCGTTCCCCATTTATGGAAGAAACACCCATTCAGTTGTTTTCAGTTAGCTCTTGGTGTAAAGATGCCATTGACCTGTTCAAGGTTCTCTTGGTATCTGAGTTGCATCACAATTGGGGTCGTTCTCTCTGCTGAGTGTGCTTGTTCCCCTGATCTCTCTCCTCCATCCTCCCCACCCATCTGTCAAAATGAAGAGAGGAATTTTTCTGTGCGCTTAGTCTGTTAGTATCTTGAAGGGAAATATTCAGAGCCTTTTCCTTTCCTTCTTTGTAGGAGGAGGAAATTTCAGGAGAACTGAAAAGTGATGATATTCTGTATGTGTCTTAGAACTTTTTTTTTTCCAGTAAGCATTCTGAAATTATAAGAATTTGTCACGTTCCTCTTTTTTTTTTTTTTTTTTTTTTTTTTTTTTTTTTTTTTTTTTTTT